GCAAAACAAACAGATGATATCTATAATTATATTTGATATTGTTATTCAAAAGCTACTGAAAATACTCAAAGTATATTTGTTGTTCACTCCCTTCAAATTATATCCTTATTTTAAGTGAATTCCTCTCACGCTTTTCGTAACTATTACAATGATGGATTATTTCTAAAATGCAAGCAAGGAGAAACTATCTGCATATTTTTTAATAACATTTGTCTATATATGAAGTGTTTACTAGGTCATGGAGATTTTAATATAAAATTGTTCAAAATTGAAGATGAACATAATTTTAATATCAGACAAATAAACTGTTTTTATATACAAGTATCCAGTAGATCAATAATGGATCAAGATATCTTTATTAATAAAAAAAGTATACAAAACCTTTTGAACTAAAACACAGCATCCTCCAGATGGTCCGTGAAAGCTTGCGACTGTCTCTTGAGCTGTTCCCTCATTTCTAACTCTGCTTCTCTTCTTAGTTTCAACACCTTAAATTATTATTAACTTTAACTCATTTCACATTTGTGCTAAGTTGCTTCACTGATTGAATTCTTTTTTATAAAGTAAAGTATAAGTGGAGAAATTCGTAATTCACTGAAAGACGGACTCCAGTTTATTTCAGGAGTTTGAAGTAAGTGTAATTTTTTAATTACGCCGATGCAGCGCCCTGGTGGGTTTTTGTTGCGTGCACCCCTTGTCCCAACATCTCTGAGGAGGCCAAAGACTCGATTACGAAACTAGTAGATTGTTTGAAATGCTGCTGCACATTGAGTATCCATTGGCAAGACGATTGCGAGAGATCAACACGTGGCATACAGTGAAATACAAAGCTTCTGTATCTCACAGACAGCAAAACATTTGATTTTACATGACCATATAGGGGTTGAAGAGATCTGTTTCAAATGGAGAACCCTTTCAAAATAATGATTTTATGCCTTCAATTTCAGATTGGAATAAAGAGTTTAAAAAATTGATTTTTTCTCAGTTTCTTTTGAAACTTGAAAGGTAAACCCTCATACCAACAATAACAAACATAAATCCAACAAATTCAAAACATTCATTCATCGGTATTGGACCTGAGTATTTCACACATTCTCTCAACTCACCTGCTGCTGGAAACACAACGTAAGTCTCCTCTTTTCTTGCTCCAATGCCTCACAAATCTGTGCGTTGGTCAAAATCTCTCCACCACCTCTTTTCGCCGCCTCAGCTGCAGACTGGATTTTTTCTTGGATTATCGTCTCCATTTTAGCCAACTCTTTCTGATAGAACAAGACGTTGGCGTAGGTATGCAGTACGAAGAGATCCAGATCTTCTTCCGTAACCCCTGGAAACAGAAATCAATTCATACACTCAATTCCTGAAAAATTATTATTATGTGACTCACCTAATTTCTTCTTGGAAAGGTCGATGGTGGGAAAAAGGCTTTCCAGTTCTTCAGAAAAGTGCTGTCTGGCCTTTTCCACTTTGTCCCAGTATTTTTCCGTTACGCTTCCCTGCCTCTGTTCAAATTCAAGTTCTTTTTTGGCTTGGTTGATGTCATCTTGAACTTTGGCAATGTTGTTTCTGATTAGGTCTTTCGTGGTGGCGGGGGCATCGAATTTCGGACTGAAATCAACACAAAAAAACTTCAAATTGAATGTAAATAATTCTGGGGTTCCACAAGAACCTTTTCTTCGCCTCCACCTTATCTAGACAAACTAATTGCCTGTTAAATTATAATTAATGTTGGTGTCATAACCAATATGTAATGTTGATGATCTCTTGTTTACAATATTAGTGAGAAAAGTAAACCACAAATCCTAACTTTTAATGTTTTATTTTGCGAATATGTTCACTTTTCACTAGTTTCTTGCACAATATACTACTTTATTAACTCTATAAGAACAACAAAATCGAATTGCAAGAAGTATTGTTGAAATTGGTTACCATTCATTTAAAATAGAACTCCTGTAAATGATATCTGATTTTATTCCAAAATAACCATTTCAATTCAAGTTATTTGTTTGGCAAAACTAGTACTTCTTGTGGTTAATTTATTTTAATCAAAGACAGTAAGACATTTTCTCTGCTATTTAGGAGTTGTCGGACTTGCCCATATCTTCCAAGTCTCCGGAAAACACTGCAGTCTCCTGGGCTTGTTGACTTTTTTCCTCATTGTTTTCATAAAATTTATGTAAGCAGTACAAAACCTTTGCAACTGAATTTATTAAAAAAGTGAAAATCGTTTCAAAATGAATGAGATAGATTCGTTTTTAAATAATTGAAGTTTGACATCAACTTTCAATTAATACTTATCAACGTTTATTGATCCAAAGAAACATACAGGACAAATAAATTGTGCCATTCTATTAATATATACGAGGAATAGAACAAGATCTAGATTTGAAAGAACTAAATATTAAACACAGTGCATTTTATTTTCATATGTTAAAATCTATAAATGGAATACCTCACCTAGAAACCAGATCTTTCAGTTTATTGATGTCCTTTGTAGCTTCATCAGCTTTTTGTTGGGCCCTTTTCAGACACTCTACCTTCGATCTTGTTTTACTTTTAACACTCTCCCAAGTGTTGGGATTGATTTCATTCACTGCTTCATCGATGATATACTCAATATCCTGGTTGTACATTTTGAGAATGTGGATGGCTTTATTATAAGCATTAACGGCTTCTTCAGCAGACTTACAGATTTTCTCTTCCAACTCTGCCAGGTTCTCGGCTTCTTCAACCGACATTTCACTAGGCTTGTGTTTGACTTCGCCAGCTTGCAGAACAGAGAGAACGAGTCAGTGGATAAATCACACTTTGATAATTGAGAATGAAGCTATCAAAATTTCCAGGTAATGGAATATTCAATACATCATGATGGTGGTACATGAATTCTAAAGATCATTTGCAAAAAAACACATGAAAAATACAATATTTATATGCAAAAGGCTCAAAAAAATTTTCATGTGTTGATAAATACAGGGTGACATTGACAACAAGAAAAACTTTCATATTGTAATCGAGATTCATTTCTATAATTCATAACTTGGCAACACAAAATTAGATTTGAAAAAATTAATTGTGCTGAATTATCTTTGAAATTTATTTACATGGTTTATCAAAATTTTATTCAGGAATTTGAATATTCAATTACTTAATATTTTGAAGTTGGTACAATATAATTAGGATTTTTTTTACGATAAGGAAATTGAAAAACCATTTTCTTATTCCTTGTCACCCAGCAAAGAGTACGTTAGTAAAAATTAATACCCAGCTCTATAATTGGTTCTTGTAACCCCTTTTCAACTTTTTCCATCCTAATTTCATTGTAAACCTGCTCAGGCTTCTTAAGGTCCTTCTCCAAAACTGGCACAATTGGTGGTGGAGCTATTTTTGATTAAAATGTTAATAAAAACAATAAAACCGCTTTAGTCATTCCATGTCACATCAACACACCTATTACCATCTCACCATCTCAGATTTTGATGAAACGTGGCACAGATGTACAACTCTTATACTAAGAAATACATGCGAGTTCTCATTTTTATGCCTTGTTTTTGAATTGTAGTTATTTTGTGCTGAAAATCGAGCTACAGATTTTGAAGAATTATCATAGTTTTATTGTATTTTCATATAATATACATACATATAATGGGTGGTCTAATGAAAAAGGTTTTTTTTAGTTGTAATTAAAAATGTGACTGAAAAAACCAAAATATTCCAAGAGTAGTCTATTACGTGATCAAACAGTACGCAAAATTTCAAAATGGAGAGAAATGGTGCTTGGTTGAAGCTATTCAAGTTAAATAGGTACAAAACCTTTTTCCCATACCATAATTATATCACATATCAATACGAAAAATGTGCATATTGTTCCGGAGAAGTGTTTTCATTTGATTAATTTTAAGCCAAAGGTTCAAATTTTACCATATTTGGGGAAGTCAATGTAACTGATAGGTATTTATAAAACTAATTTTTTCAAAAGTCTAAAAAAAAAATAAATGACTGACACCTGTCCCTAGTTTGTATCAACTCCAAATTGAGTAAATATCTGCAATGATTTTTTGTATTTATTGGAAACAAAATTAATAATAATAAAATAATACCTATAACTATGCAAGTTTCATGAAAATCTGAAAAGGTGAAATTAAATTTTTATTGATATGACATAGAATGACCCACCGATTACTTTGTTACCTTTATACTCTGTAGGTTCCTGAATCACTTGCACAATCCTACCATCTTTGGATGTCGTTTTCTCGCCTCCAGTTATCAAGCCTAATAGCGAAACCTTCACGCTTTTATAATATGCTGAAATTATGTTTCCAGAGCTTCCCTCTTGAAAAACAGTCTTTATTATTGAATCAGTGAAGGGAGCGTTCTGCGTAAGGGTTTTTCTGAAATCTGGGTCGTATTTCGCGTACACCAATGTGGCTCCCCCAGTGAACGCGAGAGCTCCCACAGCTAATAATACCCCCCTGCCTCCAGATTTTGTGGATTGTTGTTTTTGACTGTAAGAATGACAGGGAGGTAAGAAGTTCGGTTTGGTGTTCAAGTTACAGGTGAGGGGTCGATGTATTATCGGTGCTGGATTCTTCTAAAAAATATTGAAAAAATTCAGTTACTTACAGATATCTACCCATAAAATTACAATCAATAAGGAGATGACATAACACCACTTTAATTTAAGCCTACCTCACGTTTGATTTTATACATACCCATGGTAATTTTTTGTTCGATATTTTTTTGATAAGTCTGAACATTTTTTGAAAAAGCCACTTTGGAGGCGATGTAGACGAGAATATTAGGTATAGGAAAAACGGGAAAACCTCCCGACTTTTCAGAGTTGTCCAGCCGTCATCTGTCAGTGGTTGGAAAAAAATAAACGTGATGTTCAGGGTTTTGTTTGGAGGTGAGTTTTTCAGGTAAAACCAAATTACAGTTGTTCGGCAGTTATTTTGAATTTTTAATACAAATTCGTGATATCAAATTACATTTATTCATTGTTCGATTTTGAGATTTAAAGAACAAAATTTTATTTCCATCAGTTGTATTGAGGTTATGTTTTAGATATTAAACTAAGTTGGCAGCACTGAAAGTAGTTAATTATCAATGATTTATCATAGTAGATGAAGTATTTTAGGAACAGTATGTTTTAAAATAACTATAAACAAATTAATTCTCTTTCCACCCAAAAATGGGTTTCCATAATAACCAGTAAGCAATTCATTTTTCATTTTATATGATGATGGAAAAACAGAAAGCTTTTTTCCCAAAAACTAACTAAATTAATTGGGGCTGTAGATATTGTAAAATTTCAAATTCGGAAATGTATAAAACAATCAATTTCAAGCAAAAAATATATATTATCCCAAGTCAAATATCAACTTTGGCGAAAATGAACATAAACACAACCTAATATATAATAGAGTGTTAACATTAATTTCACTTTCAAGGAAACCTTTCAACTCATCCTGCACCTTTCTATTCACAAATTGAATAAGTTTCAACCTTATGATTGATCTACACATTTTTATGAAGATTTTATTGATATATCTAATTGTTCGTTCCTTCAAGTCACAAATGAGAAACGAAAATTTAAAAGTACATGGTATCATCAAATTCCTGATTCTGCCGCTGTGAAGCGTCACTGGTGGGTGAAAATCAATCTTGGACATCTGTCACTGTCAAGTAGGCAATTTCCAGGATGATCCCTCACGCCCAACAGACAATCAAAAATGGGAGAAAAAAAACTGTCGTTCTGATATTCTAATGTACCTTTACAACTGATTTATTTATTTAATTCTGGATCTAGGGAAATACGACATCCTTGCGACATTATGGTTTTGTCCTTCTTCCACACATTGCATCTGTCAAATTACTCAATTCATTAAAATAGTTTCGTTACCAAGTGGCCGGACAGCCTTAATTGCTGAGGCCATTGAATCGAAAATAAGAAGAATAAGAAGATAAAATAGTTGCAAAATATTACACATTTTTCGATATTTCCGATATTTTCATTAAATTTTTCTTCATACTTTTGGGCAAATTCTCCATCTCGGCCAGTTACGTCCCTCGTGAACTTATAACAGTTAATACTGAAGTGGGGTGGGAAAAATAAGTTCGTACACCAAGCAGAATAATTCGGGTTAAAAAGGTTTTATTCCCAGTTGATCGGTTGTATGACAGATTGCGTTGAAAATACGACTAAGTTTCTATAAAATAAAATCAAGAATATAAATAATATGCCTAAAGTTTAGCTCGATATATTACATACCTAGACCAGGCAGAAAAGTTCAAATTAATTCCCTTTCCAAATACCGCTAAGGTTCCAGAAAAACTTATTTGCAGTTCCAATACACGAAATCAACTAGAACGAGTCCACTTGCAGATGGATCCAACGTTCCT